TATCTATTTGAAAATGGAAGAGACATTTCAAACCCTACTTGAGTTAAGGACAAAAATGTCTCGGCGGATTCTAGTTTAATTATGCTTAAGTTAAGTGCTTTTGTTTAAAAAGAGAATCATTACAAGTGAACGGTATAAATTTCATTCATTTAATGTCTTATTAAAGTCATTTGCTTTATTAAATAAATAATTTTAAGTTTAATTTCTAGTTAAATTATATAAATTAACAAAATTAAACTTTAGAGGCTTCTCATTCAAATGTCATGAACGAATATTGTATTTAGTTATTTCACTTATATATAATTGATTACAGTTGAGTTTTAAAAAAAAATCTTTAGAATTTTAACATTTTCAAAATCTTAAATATAAATTTTTAATTTATGTCAAAAATTAAACTTATTAAAAGATAAACAAAGTTTATCAAAAGTTAACTTATTATTAACCACATTATTATTGTAAAGAAAATATATTTAAGTTGAATTCTCTATCATCATAAATAAGATAAATCTAAATTAAAGTTGTTTGCTTAATCATTAAACAAAAGACTCTATAAATAGATGATGTTGTGCAATATAGAATTTCATGGTGAAATAATTTATCATTTAACCTTTATTATAAGAAGTTTGCTTTAAAGAGAAATTTTAACGAATTTTTTGTGATTATTTAAATGCATAATTGATTATTAACAAAGTTAAAATTTATGAGTGTATTAAATTTTTTATAAGAAAATTATTTCTTAAATATTCATATTTGTCAGCAATTATATTTCAACTAAAAAATTGATTTTAAGTGCCAACAATTTAAAATAAATTTTCACCCATTTATTTTCACCAAAATGAGTGATTCGTAATGTGTACATGTGCACACCTATATATGCATATATAAAAAGAGCATTATATATATATATATATATATAATGAATAATAATTTTATATTAAAAATAAATATTATCATGATTTCTTTTATATTCTAATGTTATTTTAATATTTTTATTTTATTTTTATTATTTTAAAAATATCTATTAAATACTCAATTAAAGAATATAAAATTATCTAAAAAAAAATTGATAAATAGAATAAAATAATTATACTATCAATGAGAAAAATCAAACTGAAACTTTATAATTTTTTAAAGCAAGAAAAACACAAGCTTCGAATTCAAGACAAATAATCAAATGTGCCAAAGTTAAACATTATATATTTTCTACAAGTAAAACTTAATATTATAATTTTTAATATGGCTCAATTCGTTTACACTTTTAATTAGTAGACTGATGGATTCAAAGTAAGAAAAAAAATTATTCAAGTTTATCATACAATGTACTTCTAAAATTAGCTCAGCTTAAGGTACTTATATTTTAAAAAAATAATATTGAACTACTGGTAAAAAAAATATATAAAAATTTTATTGGACATTGTAAGTTTAATTCATTTTTAATGTCATGTTTAAAAAACTTTAGGCATGCCACATTTTATCAAGTATTTTTTTTTGGCTACGACTTCACAGTTTGAAAATTATATTAGACTGTAACTAATTTATGTAAAGTTGGATGGATTAAGAAGAATAAAGTTTCTTACCACTTTGATTAGTCAAATAGGCAATTAAAATTAAACATGTAATAACAGCAAAAATATGAAGAAAAAATACATCACTGAAATAAAATTTTCACTGAAAATAATTTATGTAACGAATTACACACATTAGTTTAAAATGTTAATAATAATTTAGAAAAAGCTCAGGACTTACTGGTGGGTCCTAACTCCAAATTGGCACTTAGAAGCACATGCGCATGCGATTTAATCTCTCTTGATGAACCTTTGTATCACCAATTCATCTCTTTAATAAGAAATAAGCAACAATGATGAGTTTGGGTATCAATTATAATCCATGGATCCGAAAATCACTCCTTCATCGACGATGACTTTGAACAGCCTCACCCTTTTGATAATGGATTATCAACATCTTTTTATGTTTTTAATAATTTATAACATTTTTAATCCACAGCATGTGTGAATAATCATTTCAGAATTATTTTTCTTATAACTTTTTAGGAAAAAAATATATGGTATCTTTTTATAACAAGAAAAGTTATTAAACTCAAATAACATTTATTTCTAATATAACATGCGGAGTATGGTGAATTCATTATCCAACGGGTCATTAGTCAATATTAGACTCGTCTTAGGTTCTTCTGTCTTAATAAGTTGTTGATTTTCTTTCTTTGCTTTTATGTGTTGACGGGGTTGCAATGCTTCTAGCCGTCCATTTCATGAGTTCAGTAAGTTGGTCAGACAGATGGGTCCTCACTCCACATTATCATCAACTTCCGCAGTTAAGACTCGTTGATTTGCAAAATCTGCTTTTTAAGAAGACAACATGATTAGCGAGGAAGATAATGATTCTCCATTTCTTTTAACAAAAGCCATGCTAGATTTGGTTGCCCCTTTCTGTTAACACAAACTTCTTCCACTCTCCCAACTGTCCCACCTGTAACTGTCACTCCTAATTCATTTTTTTTTTTTCAAATAAAAGTTTAAGGACTTGGAAGTTTTTTAGTAAAAATTTTATATTCAAAAAACTTGAACAAATATTTTAAAGATTTGATTTTTCAATGCCCAAACACCAAAGGGGGTTGCCTGCAAGTAGTCAAATCCAATTGTGTGACCAATCCATCAGCCAAAAGGATAATCAATAATTCCAAAACTATGTTGTCCCACTTGCAGTAAGCTATCGCAGATCATTGTCTTTTCTCTGTCACTAATTAAGTTATTTGAATTTCTCTGAGAAGTTTTGAATATTACTACGGAATGCAATCATTTTGACAGAATAAGAAAAACGACTTACCAAAGGCAACCCAGATTACGAAAAAAGTGTCTTTTTTTAAGGTTAAAAGCGTATCCATATTTCGGAGGTTTATTGTTGAATACTACGTTTTAGAATACAAAATTTAAAGCACGCCTACACCTACGCATTTCCCGGTAATGGATTCCGCAGGCGTGAGAACAAAGGCTGGCAACATTTCCACCCGCATTCGTCCCAACTTCCATCGTTCAATTCTCATTCCCATTTCCCAACCACCACACCATTTACATTCTGCATACCTTTAAATTTCAGTAATACTTAAATAGTCATTTTAATGTGTAAAACTACAGATGATAAAAAATTAATAAATAATATTATTGTCTGCAGTGATGTTATTGAATGTGTAACTTTTTGACTGGAATGGGTTGTTGATATTCAGGTGCAAATCCTCAAGTATTGTGACGACTAAGGAGTTTAATATGGAGCTATAACTATAAAGTCATAAAATTATAGATAAACTTTGCTTGTTTCAAGATGATTGTCTGCTTCTAATAACACTAGAAGTCCTAGTTTCAACTCTAGTTTCAATATGTTAATAAACATAACAGTGATTTGATATTCATAGAGTAGCTCTTTGCAGCTGATCAATAAATACGTATAAAAGGCACTCCATATATGAATATTAAATTGGATTAGATAAATAGGGAAAGAAAACCTGTTGTTTTATTAGTTTAAATTTCAGTGCTTTTTTAGATGCTTTCTCCCTTCCAACTCTGTGCCAGTTTCTATTCTTCTATTCTCCACACCAACTGTTCCACTCCAAACTCCCATGATATGCCCTTTTTTTATTTCTTTCTTGCTTTCTATCTACTATCTAGTAGCTACCCTAACGCTGTTACCTTCTACATTTTTTTATTAGTACGTCTAATTTCAAGAAAAATAAAAATAAATGGAACAATGAAGAATGAAACTCGATTACATTGACAAATCTACCCCGGATGACAAAATTGACGATGTAATAAAAGAAATCTTGATTAAAAAATTAATAAACAAAGTTTTTTTTCTTTTCTAAAAATCACAATAAGAGTGTATTATTAATATTTTTTATTTACATTTTTTAATTGATATCTTAAAAATACCAATTAGGGAATCTTAAATAAAACATATGAACACTTATAATTATTTCAAGCAGTAAATGTTAAATACATATTTTTATTTTCTTAACCTCCAGTAATTATAAAATTTTACATGAATCAATCAGCCAGCAAAGGAAGCGTGTAAGCTAAACGGGGGATGGGGATGGGGATGGGGGGGATCCATTGTCTTTGAGTTTAATGTTTATATTTAAAGTCCAAACTGACGACCCAACACTGCAGCTCAGTAATGGTCGCTTTGATTTCAAGCAGCAACAATGCCAATAAGCATTCATAGCTACAAGGCAGGGCAAAAAGCTTTTATTAGAATATAACTTGATTATCTAGCCACTCACCAACTGAAAAGAATTGTGTTGGGTTATTGTCAAAATCAAGGATGAAGAGAAGAAAGGGATAAATGCACATGAATTGTATATAGATAACCTGGTATGTTTATAAGAGTGTTACTAAAACACATATTATATTATATTATATTGATAAGTATCTTAAAAATATATATTCATTATATTGGTTAACATTTTCTTACTTATTAAAGCGAGGGTACTTAGCTTTTTAAAGTCTTGGACTAGATAAATCATAATAGTCTCCTCGGTTCTCAGGCTGACTCATGAAACAAATGGATTCATATTTCCTTTGAATTACCAAAAGGCAATTATGTAAGCTTCCAACTCCTAATTAAAGCGCTTAGCAGATGTCGAACTTTTCTACCATATCCCAAATCATAATACTGAGTATTAAAGATGTGGCAACTTTCACTTATTACTATTTAATGCTTTCAGTATAAAATAACTTACGATTAAAATAATTTTATTTATTTACTACCGTTGAATCCAATTGACAGAGTTGACGTTCAGGCCACCACAGTATGAAGTGATTTTGTTTGTTTGAGGAATTAATGGAATTTGTTGTTATATTAGGGCTACGAAAGAAAGAGACAGAAGGCACGTGGGTAATTCCAAAATATTCAGAAGGGCAAAAGCGTGATTTAGGAGTAAAATCCATTTATTATGGCGCCATGTCTGTTCCACTTCTCTTCTCATTCATTTCATTCATTCATTCCTTCCTTTCTCTGTTGTCTATGTACAACAAAAGATGAGACCCAAACTGCAGACAAAAAGCAGAGCTACCAAAACAAAAACTCTTTAAGATACCAATACATAATCTCTGTAATGGCGAGTGGGTGGGTCAAGTCGTTGCAATGCAAGTCCAGAGCTTATGAAGACGTATACCACCCAAACCCTAAATACCTCATACCCAGCGCCAGTTGCAAAAAGAGCGTTCAAAACATCAAAGACGTCGTCCTCGACACTACCAAGCCCAGGCCAAAGTCTAAGCCTAAGCCCAAGCCCAAGAATCCTCTGCAAAAACACCCCAGCTCCAGATACCCATCAACCACCGCCAAGCCCGATTTCGAAGCCACCATTAACCGCTCGCGAAGCACAACTGCATCCGACCCTCGCTTCCCTTCTCTCACCGAACTCACCCAGGGGCACCCTTCGCGGAACGTCGTCGAAATTATCTTCCACACTAGCTGGGGGCCCAAACCATTTTCGGGCCGGGTGGAGATGATATTCAAGGTTCACAACGGCCCACGAACGGTGTCGCGGTTCGAAGAGTATCGCGAGACAGTGAAGGCCCGAGCCGGTTCGGCGGGCCCGCCCCAGGAGAGTAACTGGGAGGAGAATGCGCGATGCGTTGCCGATGGGAATGAGGTGATGAGGTTTCACTGCTTGGGTCCCACCTCCGGCGGTGGCCCCTACGGTGGAGCTTGTGCCTGGTCGTTCCCCGGCGGCAAAGGGTCGGCGATCTGCACGTTCTCCGGCAGCGGCGGTGCCCATGATAGCTCCGGCGGAGGTAGGGGCAGAAGGGCTATGTTGGTGTGCCGGGTCATCGCGGGTCGGGTCTCGAAGCAAATAGGGTTCATAGACTCGTTGTTGGACGGACGAGTTGGGTTCGACTCGGTGAGCGGAGAAAACGGCGAGTTGTTAGTGTTTGACTCGCGTGCTGTATTACCTTGTTTTCTTATCATTTATAAATTGTAAAAAACGTATTTACCGTTCTTCCTTCTAATCTTTTTTTTTTTTTTTAAATTTTAATATACACTTTTTTCCCTCATTTATTTTCCTTTGGGATGTACGTATGTAAGTTGATTGATGAGATATTTCTTTCCTTGCATTTATCGATGCAATTTTTCTTTTTCTTTTTCCGGTTTGCCAAATATGATACTTCCTTGCCCTCCATTTTCACTTGCAAAGCCAAATAAGAAGCATAAATTCAAATTTTAATTATGGAAATTGTTATTTTATTGCTTCATTTCTATTTATTTTTTTACAACTGATTATTTTACTTTGTCACGATTTAGTTTCACATCTCATATCTATTAGAGAAGAAGAGTGAAGTTCAAAATACAACAAAATTAATACTTTATTCATTCGTGAGAATGTTACTTATATTGACTATATTTTTTTTTTTGCAAAAACAATACTTCAAATGTACACGAGAGAGCTTCATCATCATCATGCACTAAAATACCCGTTGTACGAGAACAATTTTTAATTGTATTTGTTTGCTTCATCATCACTTTTAATGTGCAGTATAGTATTAGAGTGATTATTAATCACTAATTAATCATACAAGGAATAAATCAAATAACTGTTATGGAGTATTTGAATTATGTTTTGGGTAATAAGTCATTTTAATTAAATTAATTTTTTAGTCTTCTTTTATCCGATACCATGGAAATTTTAATTACGAATTTTCATTGTGAGATTCTATTGAAAAATCCGGTATTGGCAATGTTTTGGCCGTCTGCCCGTTGAATTTTGAACTGAGTAAAATTGATTCCAATTAATTGTAAATTGTTGAATATTTTTAAAATGTATATACAAACTAATTTAAATTACATATTTTTTAAAATAAGTAATTTGTATTGGTAAGTGCGAAGATTAATTTTTCAACTATAAATCAAACAAGGACATAATATATTTTGTCGCAGTTGAAAATTCTACAAAACGACAGTTCACATACATGAATCCCGGTGTACCCCTTTACCCATCAAAGCAAAATATTCCCTCAACGATGAAAAGGAAGAAATACGTCTAAACTGAGTTTGAATATAAGTTGTGGTGTATTTTATTACTAATTTAATTTAAAATATATTTTGATGTTAATTTAGTAAAATCCAAGAATAAATATAAATGTAATTATGCATTTTAAGGACCGATTAATAATTTGATCGGCTGCGGTTGAGTTGAAGGAATTATTAAAATAGTAGTGGAAAATTGTTATGCTTAACCTCTCCTTGAAAAGGAAATAAAAGACAGAAGTGGATCGCTATTAGGTTCTGTTAAAACGAGCATAAAATTAGTTCTAAGTTAAATTTAAAATGAAGGGGAAATAGAGTAAAGAGTAAGGATAGGTAATCAAAGTGGAAACACGAGATGAGATTGGAACTTTGGATGGAGAAAGGGTCCCATCAACTTCACGAGTTGAAAACATGGGCAGGGTAATAGGGAAGTATAGCGCAAGTTACGCAATCGGTCCAAACAAAGCTCTAACCTTAAGTTGTTTGATAATGAAATGATATGAGAAAAATCAAATGACAAATTAACTAACTACAAGGGTCACTTTCTTTGACGGAAATTCATCTCACAATTGAAGTTGCTAGTTTGCCAAGTTTCTTTCCTTCTTCTCTCTATTTTCATAACCAATTTCCACTTCTTTTCTTGTCGTTCCTTTTAAGATTTTTGTTTACTAGAAAAGCTTCCCCTTCATGATATCTTTAAGTGGTAGGGAGGCCTTTTGTTAAGCTTTAACCAGTTAGCCCATACTTTTTGTTTCGGCCTGCAACTTAGCTTATAGTTTAAAAACGAAGGCCCAAACTGTTTTTGATTTTTTTAAAAGCTGTATGGCATACTTTCCATATAACTAATCAATCGGTGGATCATGTAATTTTGGTTCTCAATCATCAGGTGCTTTATCTACCACATTCAACCACTGTCTGTTCTGTTTTCGGAGAGATTGAAACTTACATGTCACCTAAATTCTATGATTGTTTACAACAATAATTATTCTCACATTTTGGTGTTGGTAAGGAGAAGAGTTTTAAGAATGCAATTGAAGCTTACTTCTACATTCCTCTTTGTTTTACAAAGTTTCATTTTTAAGTTTCTCGCTTTCTAACATAGATGGTGTGTGGGCATACCCCAAAAACAATTGTCAAAGACAAATATACATGTAATGCAAATATATCTATAGATAAAATGAATTTCATTAACAATTCCCTTAAGCACGAAGCCTATATTATTTTGGCATATGATAATATACAGGGAAACCTTTCTCTTTTCCCTCAAAAAAGACAAAAGGAAAAGGTAATCAGGTATAATTTCAATTCTATCATTTGGATGTGATAAAACTTGACTCTGCATGATCAAAGAGAGGGGTTTTTGCTCTATTAAAATTGAGTTCAAAAAACACATTCATATTCTCATAGGAAAGTTGATGAACGAAGAAATGATCACATCTCTGGTTTCAGAGTGGGAAAACATAATCAAAATTTAAGTTTACATATGATTAGCTACGCGCGCGTTATAAACTATTGGCAAGTTTATTTCAGAAAATAAACCATGAAAACAAGGAATGGGTTACAGCTTATAGGGCGCTGTGGATTCCATTTTGGCTGTCATCATGCAAAATAATCTACGTGTATATTCTGTAGCCAAAGTTATATCTTTATTTGAAAAGGGTGGGGTAAGGAGCAGAGACGAGACGGGAGACCCAAAGGGTGGGTCATACAGATTCATTAATTTGCTTTGATTTGATTGTTCCTACTACAAGCTAAGATGGGATTCCAAGTGGGAAAGCACCCACTGAATGACACATTTCACAAATCTACATCTTAATATTCTTGCCCCAACCCACTTCATATCTCGAAATATTCCACCAACACGTACAAGGGCTTCCCGTTCAAACGTTCACGACCCTGTCACGCATTCGCAAAAATCATTAACAAGCATGGCTACATAGTACATACATGACCAGCAGCAAAATACCTTTGGCCTAATGCACACAAGATCTTTTAGGTGAATGAAAATTTGGAAACACTTAACGAACATATAACAAGGAAGAAAAACCACTGGCTATTGATGAATAGACGATTAACAAAAAATTAAAACAAAGTGCATTCGATACTCTATTATCTAGGTAGCCAATCAAAATTAAATGGAAATCAAACCAAACAACGCAAAGTAGGATTGCAGCTAAGGCAACGAGTAAACTACGAAAAAAGAAATGTGAGAGTCATGTTCAAAGGTTAGTGTCCATCTCTTTCCTACTGGACAATAAATAGGTGGAGTCCTATCTTATATTTATTAGGAGAGATAAGATTCAAGATTTGAAAGATTTGAACATGACCTGACATGGTTAGGAGAGATAAGATTCAAGATTTGAACATGACCTGACATGGTGAGAAGATCTATCCCAACAAAGATAATTAGAAGATGCAAAGTATACATACCTTCAGTTCTGGTAATTCAATTACGCATGCACACTCCACTACTTCTGCTCCCACACGTTCTAAAAAACAAGGAAAACGTCAATATAATAATATCCCAAGTTTACGTGGAAAATAAAAGATATTAAAAGTGAGGCATGTTAACAGAAGTGCAGGAAAAAGTGGCATTAAATACAGCAAAAAATGCATTCGTGATCTAAAGAAATGGCCTACTGTGGTGTTATAATCACCACCGCTCATGTATTCACGAGTCATATTCAATAAGCACACCACTGCTATTTACTAATCCGTGAAAACAAATTATATGCAGTAAAACAAATGAATTAGCAAATTACTGGAACAGAGACCCAGAATTCAGTCTGTTTATACACTAACAATGGGAGTAAAACCATGAAGGTAATGCACACATTTATTAACCATATCAAACCTCTGAATATTAACCTACTAATCCTAGTTTGCATTCCTATGTACCCTAACGTTTTTCCTTACGTCAACGTGATAAATAAGAGCCAATCTTCGGGATACAAAGCCCTGATGACAAGGGCAGGGCTGGAACTTAAACAAATGAACTAGAGAAAAATATCTCAGGGCCCGAACAATTAAACAACGCCTTCAATAACAGAGTTGAACAAATTAATGGATCTCCAGTTCCTAGGAGGCTACTTCAATGTTATAACCTATGCAATGTCCATTTCTAACAGAACTTGCATACAGGTACTTACCAAGCAAGTCCATAGCAGCACAGAGTGTTCCACCAGTTGCAATCAAATCATCAACCACTATAGCACGCTCACCAGGTTCAACAGCTTCAACATGCATCTCAAGACAGTCCCTTCCATATTCCAGAATATATTCTTGAGAAATAACTTTTCCTGACATTGAGGTAAGCTTTTGTTACAAGAAAATAAGAGAAAGTATGCTACAATAACAAACTCAACCAAAGTTTAAACCTTGACAAAGCCAGAGTAAAGTATAATTAATATTTCAAGGTTTATTTATTGAAGCACCTTTTAAAATACGTCCATTTGGTTCTGATTTCACATCTCTTTAAATAAAAATTCATAATGAAAGGCAACAATACACCCTCCATTATATAGCTTAACCTGAAGTGGAGATTAGCAGTGCATGAAAAGTTGGGTATTATAACAAAGAAAAAGATGCAGGATGAAAAGGGATAATCAAGACTTAAGAGGCTAATAGGTCTAACCATAGGTCAAGAAAATATCTGTATTCATAGACTGCACATTCATCACTTATCGATAATTTCGACTCCACTCAGCAATTAGAACATATATTGGCGGGAAAGTATCACAAATCTAGTTAACAGAAACATGATAACTCCAGACTTGTATAAGATATAGATTTACAACGTTGAAACCCAAAAAACTAGGAACAACCTCAAGAACTGCTCCTGTAAACACGTTGCACAAGTATATGCCACACAGGTGGATGAAACTGTGAATCCACAATGAATCAACTGAGGAATGAAAAAAATATTTGATCTAATATGCAATAGAGCATTAAATTATTGAAAGAAACAGTCAGCATGTGGTATAAAAGAACATATGATTCATAACACTTCTAAGAGTGAAACAATCAGCATAGTAATGAAAGAAAATTTTAAAAAATATTAAGGGTCAAAATTTACCAGGCAACTTCTTTGGTTTCCTCAATGGTACAAACTTTGCTCCTATAGCCAATGCAATGGGAGGACCAAAAATGAAACCCCGAGCTTCAATTCCTAATAAGAGACAAATTAATTTATCAAAACACAAGATTGTGGATACTACATGAGGTATTGCAGAAAACATGCAGTTCAAATGTGTGCTAGTGATAATGTGCTATTACTAGCTAACCATGAGGGAAAGGGTTAAATGAGGAAATATTAAATATTAGGGCCGTCATCTTCATGATTTGTATTAAATAATACAACTGATACATAATATAAGTATAGTCAAGCTTACTTCATCAAACACCCCCTCCACCCCCCCCGCCCACACAAAAAAAAAAAAAAACCTAAAAAACAGAACATTGTTGTTCACTCATCCTAAACATCATATTCTCATGTATAAACAAACACCCAAAAGTTTCAAAATAATACCAAAGGATTTCAAATGTAATGAAGCCAACTGCCAAAGAACCCATCAATAAGTAGAGCCAATCAGCAATAATGCCACTCGGTAATACAGGATAATTGTTTTACACAGACAAATTCCACATCTCATACAGGACTCTATGATTGAACAGAAGATTCCAGGAATGTCTCAAAAAAAGATATATAACAGCAAAAAGAAAAAAAAAAAAAAAAACACCCAAATAAGCGCACAAAGACAAATACAAAGGAAGCGCTAAAAGACAAGTCACACCCAACACGGTTCTCTTCCAGTTTGTAATCATACATATAGAACTAAACGGGAGTGAAGGTCCTACCAGCAATTTAGATTAAAACTTAGCCTTAAACTGTACAGAAATTGGACAGTGTAAAATGGGCATCTTTTTGACGTTGAAAGGACTGTATGGACAGGAAAACAAGAAAACACTGCACACATTACATAAACATCCAAAATACTAATTTAGACAGAAATCAAAATACATAACAGCTCTATTTCCATGGCCTCCATGCCATATCCTCTGCAACATATCACATTAAAGTCTCCAGCAAATCCGGCAATGTCGGGAAAAAAGTTAAAAGCAGAAAAAAAAAAAAACTACAAGAACCACACACATGTTCACAGGGAACCAAAGCAGAAAAACCAAGGACGATGAACAGTGTTATAGTACACAACTGCTGGCATAATCCATCACTTGCAGCTACTATTGACACTCATGTTTTACCAGGGGTTTAGTAATTTGGAACAAGAAAGAGACACGGGAGAGTGACCAAAATAGTTTTTCTTTAAAAATGAAAAAACGGGGTACTTGAGCTCGAAATCACCCAACGGTGAGATGAAGGAAACATGCGTCATGCGGGTCCCCTCCACTTTGCACAAGTTGGAGGCAATGGATCACCAATGTTGCTCCATGCAAATTGGATCCACGAGGGGTGCTGAATAAAGCTTGAGATTTCAGAATCGCAATCAATGGTACAACCCACTAACAATGGGCAAGGGCTCATAGTCAAACAAAAAATCACTGCCAAAACCCACAGTGACTTCCATTCCACAATATCTCTCAAAAAGAGAAGCAGAAATTTATGCAACATACACCACCATCGCTGAACACTCTCCCCAACTTTCTCGTAAACATGGACCCCACCACTTTCAAGCTAATAACCACAGTGATACCTCACACACAAAAGAAAAAAAAATGGTTGAATGTTGATCCATTTTTTCCTTTTAATTTACCTGCAACAACAGAAATGTTTTTGCCCTTATATCGCTCAACGAACAAATCGATTGTGTCCTTAAACGCTTTGGGGTCGAGCAAAAGAGTAGTAATATCTTGGAACATAATACCTGCCATTGCAACCAAAACATTAGCAAACAAACTGAGTGGTAAAAAAAAAAACACGAACGAACCTCCAAGACAAGACATCCTAGAAATTGGAGAACGAAACTCAAACAAAACACGAATTCAAAGCCTCGTCCCATGGGAGCTGATTTGGTCTGGTTTCTTAGTCCAAAAACAGAAACATGAGAGACAGAAAAAAAGAGGGAGTTTATGTTGAACGGTGACAAGATGGATGGAATGTTAGTTACAGGTTTTAAAGCAAACTGAAAGAAACAGAAGCGGGAAATGAAAAATTGAAAAAGAAAGAAAGGAGAGGAAGAAAACGAACCAGATTTGGGGAAATTAGGGACGACACTAATCTTAGTTTTGATGGCATGAAGACGGGGATCTTGTTCTTTGTAAGCAGACATTGTATTTGTCTATGTAAGTCAGTACAGAGAGAAAAGGGAAAGAGAAGAAGAGAGAGTGAGGAGTGAGTGAGTTGAGTACTGAGCAGAGGATATCAGTGTCTGTACGATATTTATAGAAGAGAGAGAGAGAGAGAGAGAGCACTGCCAAATTTGGAGAGAGACTGCACACAACGAATTAGGAGAGACTTCGTTAAATAGTTACAAATATTTTCTTCTTTACTTAAATACATTTTCAGATCCTCAATTTTACTTTCATTTATATCTTGCAGTTTTAATTTACTTCCATTTAATAGAAAACAAGATAGGCTACTTTTTTTATATATAATTTTTATTTTTTAAAATATAAAAAATATAGAATTTTTTATAAAATTACAAAAATATGGAATTTAAAAATTATTATTGACAATTTTTGATACAGTATAAATATTTAAAGATAAAAAAAACAAAAAATGATAAAATTTTAAAAGTCACCCATGACAATTTTTAAAAAAATATTAAAAAATTAAAAGTCACTAATAATGATTTAAAAAAATAATTAAATATTTAAAAGATATATTAAAAGTCGTAATAATTTTTGGCTAAAGTAAAACTATATGTTTGTAATTTTACAAAAAAATTCTATATTTTTTGAATTTAAAAAAAAACTCATATATAAAATAAATGTTCCAAACAAGATATTATTATTATTTTTAACTATAATAAATTTTTTATTTACTTTTTATTATATTTTACGTATATTTTATGAATTAGTTCGTTTAACAAGGTAAACTGATGCGATTTGTACTATTATAACAATGAGAAAGAAGAATAATAGGAAAATTGTATAATAAAAAATAATATCATTAAGTGATATCTCATTACATTGTTATAATATGCTTTATTATAGTTAATTTACTATTTTAAGTTTGAAATTCTAATGTTATTATTTACACCTTTTTATCAACAACTTTTCTGACTGCTACATAATTATATTACCATTGTTGTACGTAATTATAAAAGCATAATTCATATTGTGAGTAATTTATTTTATAAAGGTGAGTAAATATAATTTGTGTTTTTTACGTTTTAAAACTTTTTCATTCTTATTTTTTTATTACCAGATACAAGTAGAATCCCTATAAAAAATACAATTTAAACTTTAACATTTTAACATTTCAACATTTATTAAGTGAAATTATTAGTAAAAAATTTCTTAAAATTTATTTGATTTTATGTAATTTTATAACGGTAATTGAGTTTCCTAAACGTTTTAATTAGTAATTAACTTTTTTTTTCATTATTTGAAACAACACAAGAAATGTGGTTAAATTATAAAGAAAATACCTGTAAAAAGCATTACTTCAAAAAATTTGCAGATAATAGTGGAAACTGCATGTATCGTTTCAGACTCCTTTTTTTTCACCTGAATGAATATTCCAACATCTTTAAAGTACGATAATTTATCAGTATATTAATTATTTATGCGAAATTTCGAATCCATATACACACAATCAATCATTCAATCGTATATACTGTATTCGCATTTTCTTAAAAGATCACAATCTTATACGAGATTTTCACCATAGATCGAACAAATCAAAAGGACCCGCGTCGATATGTACTTAAACTTAATTTTAATTCGGGTTAATTTTAATGTGTTTCCCAATATTTTTAATTTTGTGACTATGGCTCGACCAATTTGTTTCATCGTTGAGTATATGTGGAACGCTGATGTTATTCACATGGCTTTTGCATACATGTGTTCCTTTAGAATGAATTCAAAAGTAACTGACTTCAAATTTCCTATAAACTATAAATATTCGTATTAAATATTTTAAAGATTATATCATGCTTAAATCATTTTGTGGGACATTTTTTAAAAGTTATATAATTTATTTTAAATCTGACATAAACTAATTTTTTTTTAAGTTTGTTTAATTTTTTATAATAAAACCCTTTAAACACAATACAAATATACAAAGTGTCGGCAACATGTTATTTTCAAATCTCTCGCTATTATTATTATTATTAAGTGAATTTTACGTAAATTCAATCAAATAAGAGGCGAAAGTCAAATGGCTTTGTGATGTTTTGTATGAATTTCATGCGATAGTAATAATAAAATAAAGCTATCAATCGGTTTTCATCTATTCAACAAATTTGAATAATAAAATAAAACTAATTAAATTATTTATTTAAATTTATAACAATTAGTTCAAATTGAACTAAATCAATAAAACCGATCCTTTGGATCAAGTGGATTTCGCGATTCAAAATTCAAGGGTATTATTGCCTGCAAACCCATTGTCTGTACTTCGTGCCTATATATTATATTTTTTTGCTTATATATACATACCATGTAAACTAAGATACTTCGTGACTATCGTTTGAACTAATTATCCTCAAAATTTTCATAAAAACACGTACACACACATAAACTAAGATTACTTTTTTTTTCTAAGAATATAATTTTATATTTATATCAAGGAGTAAGATTAAAATTTAGCTTACAATGATGTAATTATTTTAAAAAATTACGTATATTTCTTTATCTAAATAAGATCTAACAACTCTTTATATATATATAGTAATTAGATGAAAGCAACATGATCTGAATCGAGTTTGTTTAATTTGGGGTTGACATAAGAAATTGTAAAACTAAAAACAATATCTATTGTAAATGGTCTAGATTTAAAAAAAAAAAAGATGAAAAATAAATTCATAGTATTCCTCGCAAACAAATGATCTTATCAGTGGACTGATAATTTAACCACATTGGCTAACAAGCACTCAATATATTTACTATAATTAAGATAATACAATATTAATAGTTATCGTTCATAAATAAAACTATATGTAACATATTTTAATATTTTATTTTTCTAACTTATTTCTAAATGACATTTGGTTTCGTTTTGCTATCTATATATTTAGACTGTGTATAAATGGATTTTTGACGGGACGACCGTGTAAAAAAAATAATAAACAAAGAAAGAGTTGCATCTCCTATTTCTAAAAGCATTCATATAAAATAAATAGAATAGAAGAAAAAAAGAAATAAAATATATATTTAATACGATTTGACAAAAAAAATTACGTTCATAACTCTCCATATAATTTTATTTATAATTTATAATTAAATAATATTATAAACATCTCGCTTACAATTCTTTTATGAAGAAAATTATAAACTTTCATGGTACACGATAATCTAAATTTGTACACTTAACGGACTGTACATTATCGTGATAAAATTCCTCATCAAAATCGTCAATTTTTATTATATTATTTTCTTTTCTTTTCTTCAAGTTTTTAACAGACAAGTTTTTAGATATTTAAATAAATTGACGCTAAATAAAAATTGTAAATTTTGTTATTTCGTATATTGTTTAATTAAACGAGATGTCCATAAAATCTAAATAAAAATATCTTTAGCAGTTTTAACAAGGCACAATTTAGATAATTTTTTTTAATTATGAGAGAAAAAATAGCATAAATTTTTTAATAAATTAAAAAAAAACTTATCTTTTTTTATAATTTCTTATACGTTATTTCTTTAGATTTATGTAAATTAAATAAAAGAGTTATATATATATATATATATATATATATATAAATTATCTATCTTTTATACTAATTTTGTCTCTTATAAAAAATTATCCAATCTAGACTTATAAATTTAAAAAAAGAACTTATCTCCAAAGATTTGAAGCCGATTCACGTGTGCTTGATACTTCCATTAAGTGGTTTAATGGTTTGAATTTCCTTTTACACAGTATGGTCAAAAATTAATATTTGTAGTGCAATATATCACACAGTCGTTTAAAATACAGAATTTTAATATTATATGAACAAGTTGAGCAAACATTGAGAATCCGTTCAACAGGAGATTGATCAAAAGGTGTCAACCAGACACTGATTTTATCTTCTTTCTCCTATTAGTGGTCCACTTCCCTAAGGTCTAAGCAATCAATGCAGATTTCTCCATTCTCATTTTATTTAAGAGAGAAACATGAAAAAAGTATCTCTCCTCATAATGTGTAGCCCCACGCAGCACAGAGCTTTTAAATCATTTTTCAAAGGAAAATTGAATAAACGTCGGTGGATTTATAATTTTGATAATGTATCATAGTTTGTAATGCAAAAACAATAATGCACAATTTTTCTTTGTTTTTCTATAAGCCAAAACTTAATGAAAGGATGTATAAGAAGTACTTCATGATAAACACGTTGTTTTATACGTACAGTTTCATAGGTTAAAAACATATTTAACTTTTTGTTTTTTAAAAATATGATATAATATAAATTTATACTGTATTTTATTTTTTAAAACAGAAAATTATTTTTAAAAAAAATCAAACATGCTTTAAGTCGTTTTAAAATTGTAAGTAAATTTTACAAATCTTAGAAAGGAAATGGGACTAGGAGAGAACTTTAATCGTGTCTGTGAATCAGATCAAAACCTATATTTTTTTACACTATTGTATTACATGACCAAAAATAAAAGTATTCACTTACGGTGTATTTATATATACCAAGCATGTTCCATTTTTATATGTGTTCAAAGACGTATTGTAGATAATGACCCATAGCATTCCAAGTTACAGCAAAAAATAAGCTAAGAGCAAAGAGAAAACCAGTCCTGTTATGCAAGCTTGTGCATAAATAATAGATGGAAAAATTATCATTGTTCGATGTTAAAAAGGCTACAAAGAGTCTCCTGAATATTTTCAATCACATTTCAACAGCTGCAACTTCAAAGGTTTTTTTTTGGTTAATTTTGAAGGAATGTTGTCCAAAATAGTCTGCCAAAAGAAACCTAACACGCCTTCGAAGTAACTAAACATCTTTTTATGATTATTTTTATTTTTATTTTTAAGATCAAATTTAAAAAGCTTAATAAAAATAATTTAATTATATTTTTCCACTAAATATATTTTTTAATAAAAATTCATTATGTTTTATGCTTAAGACTAATATTAATAGAAATATTTTATCTAAAAGTTAGTTAATGGACTTCAAATATTTTCCAAATGAGTATTTGCCTCACTAAACTTTTCTTTGTTAAAATATGAGTTACGATATTTTTATTAAAAAAATCAATAATA